GCAAAGACTACAAACAGGCCCGTGTGTGAAATTTTCAGAGATGGGATGAAATTTTCCATTCACTGCAACCAGGAACTTTCTAACAATGAGAACGACTCTACCAGTGCTCCGTGTTGTCTGGAGAGGCAGAGAGTACCTCGTCCCCCTGCAGAGACTGGATGACCACCTGCCAGGGTCATCTGACAGCTTGTTCATGCCCTTGGTGGGAGGTAAATTCAATGGCCTCTGAAGTCATGTCTGATTAGCAGTGTCTTTAAGTTATATTGACAAAAATGACCAAGTGGTAATCTTCCACATTTTGAATATGTAACACAACAGGAAAATCTACTTAGCTGGGTTAACCCTTCAGGGTAAAAGAGAAGGAGGCTCAGGACCCATCGCCTCATGTAAATACATTTTTTTTTCTGTCCCAGAAAAGCCACATGGTGAGGAGGAGGGGAGAATTAAAGGCTTACAAGCTTTGTATCATGTGGAAACCTCTGTGTGATTTGTTACATTACACACCAGAACTGGGGCTGTGCCCAGTCTGACACTGACGCGCTCCCGGACTCCCACGGAAGCGTGCGGCGCCCTCCCTTGGCAGTGGCGCAGCCGGAGCCCACGGGCTCAGAGGTCTGAACGCGGCATCCAGGACGGCAGAGGAACAAGCCTGCGCCTTCTGCCCTGCGGAGCTCGCTAATCATGGTCAGGACTCATTCTCCGAAATCTACTCTAGAGGCTCCTCCCACGGGTGACTAAGGATGGCACACCTTTAATTGCTCCAGACAAGGAGATGTGCCCTGACTTGCCTTACAGAGTAAGCAGCCAACCACATCCACTAGCAAGATGGTAAGAGAAACCTGGCATGCAAGGTTTACAGCCCATCCATTTACTCCTGGTTGGCCGTCTGTACCTTGTACACTGCTCCACTGTGGAGCGGATAAACTGGCCGATCAGCGCCAGGAACTGTTCTGTGTACCGGGAATGAAACTGCTTCAGCAGGGTGAGCAGTCCCAGAACAAGCGGCGGCCAATCCACGGGGTCGGCAGGCTTCCGGCAGACCATTCCTGCAAG